AAAATTAATAATTTAGTTTTATGTTTGATGTCTATTTTTTCTGTTTTGTAATAAACTCCTTGGTGTTATACCGAATATCTCTGGCTGCTACTTAACTTTACTTGCTTTTAAGAAATAAGACTTTTTCTTTGTTTGTGTTTCAATATGGCCATTATTTTAGTAAACAATTGAGTATATTTTTATGATAAGGATAAATCTATATCTTACAGCATACATTGAGATGGACTACTTGCTAAAATGTATTTTTTTTATTGTTAATAATTATTTTTTCTATGTTAAATTTATATTTGTGTATCAAAATAAATGGTTTAAATCTTTTACTTACTATTTACGTATTTTTTAATTTTATTTTTAAACTTCTTGAGATAAACTATTTATATTTATTATAACTGGCTAAAAATACAATAAATATCAATTAAATAAATAATATTTTGCTTTTGCTTTTAAAAAATGAATATGGCATTTTTATTTTTTCAGTTTTCAGTTAGTCATTATTATATTTGGTTTGTCGATTTATTCGTAAAACGAACTTAGAATAAAACCGTTTAAAAAAATGGTAAAATTTAAAATAAAGTATTTAAAATAATAATATAATTATTTTCTTTTTGGTTAAACACCTTAAAAATCAGACCACTAATAAAAGAAAAAATCCTATTCCTTCCCAATCCTTATATCCGCAACGCCCATCCCCAAAAGGCCGGCAACGCATTCGTAACTTCTTTGGTGTTGCGGGTGTCCATGGGCGGCGCCGATTGCTTACCATCAGGTAATCCGTCTGCTAGTTTGCCGACTTATACCATTAAAAAAAAAACTAAAAATAAAATGCAATAAAAAACAAATAAGTAACAGTTTCACACAAATAAACATTTATTTTATATTTTTGACATAGCAACATTTGATTATGAATTCCCAGCTGTTTTACATATAACAAAATCCCTTTCGAATACAGACGTCTTTGTAGTATTCAATCAATAATGAAGGATTATTAATTTTATACTTGAAATAAGCGTACAACATGCAGCTGTGTGCCTCGGTACGATAAAGTACATATTTCTTGATAACCAGTGATAACCTAAATAAGGAAAGGAACGTTTACGATTGTATAACTTAACACAATCACTCAATTAATTGGTACAAATATTTAATTCTTAATCATGTAATCTTAATTTATTTTTGTAAAACGCTTTTTTTCTTTTTAAATTTAAGTGTGCTTCGGCACGAATGTGTTTCGCCGTGTGAGTGAGGTTACCGGAAGCCCAATACTTCCCCACCTCTAATCCCTCCCCAATCTCTAAATCTCCAAATCTCTAATCCCCAAAGGGTTGGCAACTCCTCTGTTGCGGGTGTGCATGGGCAGCGCTGATTGCTTACCATCAGGTAATCAGTCTGCACATTTGCCGACCATATTACATAAAAAAAAGTTAATTGTTTTACAAAATACTAGGTTTTTTTAATAAATAATGAGGATTTTTAGTTTGACGTTAATGTGGCCTTTTGTATCCCTAAACGTAGGAAAAGTAACATCTAATATATTTCCCGAAAGGGTAACTTTTAAATTACCAGGTAGAAACGAGAACGAGCAATATGCTTAGGTACATCATAAACTAGGCATAATTCCAGACTTCATTTGGTAAATATGAATAATTAAAACACCGAACAAGCTTCTACAATTGTAAATTGTTTAACATTGGAAATCAGACAAGTTGGGGTGTTTGTAAAAAAACATACTTTTACCTTTTCTTGTCAAATGACTTCTCCCGACCACGGTGGGGCTGGAGGGAGTGTCAGACTCTTACTGACTCAAAGCCCCCGTTCCTTCTCCTGCTCAAAGCCGAGGCCACGGTGACTTACCGACCCTACCACACCATTATACTTTAAAATTACTCTAATGGCGTATCGAATTTTAATTTGACTTATTTACTTTTTTCTATACAAAATATTGTTAGATTAAGAAAAAATTTAGTTAAGTTATCGTAAAATTATCACACATTCTTTAATTTATTAGATACAACTGATACACACAGTTACATTATTAGATAATTATAAAAAATAATTTAAAACCTGTTAAATTGAAAACTGTATGTAGACACAGTGAAATTTATCATTAAAATATATGTATATCGCATTTACCTTGTATGTTTTAAATTATTTGAATTAAGATAAGTGTTGCCACGTTGGAAGAATTGATGTAATTATATTATGATTTTTACGCCCGTGGCGACATCTCTTTCCAAATCCCTACATAAAACTGTTGGTCACAGACGGGGCCCTATAGGGCTGATGTTTAGCGTTGTTTAGGGTTGCGTCGTTAGCGAAATGAGGCACTGCGGCCTCGGCCTAGAGCAGGAGAAGTCATTTGATGATATTCCCCTAACAAAACTGTCGGCCAATAGCGCGCAATGGTTACATAGGCATAGTTTAAGTAGCCTTTTCCTAAGTTTTTTGCATAGATGGAGCCTAGGAATTATTATAAACACTGTTTTTTTATAAATAAGAAAGTTCAAAGGAGCAAATTAATATCTGACCCAAACCGTTAGAACCAAACGTATATTTGTTTTTGATTGGTTTAGAAATTCCAAACTTACGGTAATTTTAAGATTTTGTATTGTATTCTGCAATTATAGGCTAATCGATGAAAGTAGTAGTCATTACTAGCCAGTTTTGGCATGTTTTGATAGTAGTTATCTGCGAAATCCATTCGAAGCTAGATTTATCATAGATTTAGTTTGGGTTGTAAATATAATTATGCCGGATTATTTGGATTAACTAGCGTTCTTTCTATTGTACATAAATCATTTTGCATTTAATATTATTAATGTATAACTATTTAAGCGCCTGTACATTTAATTCTAATTACTTATTGTGAGGACGTGATTTTCCGTGATTTATTTGTAAAAGGTTGCTCTTACTATCTATAGTTTATTGAGAAATATTGTTTTGAAAAATTTTATTACTAAAACTTAGCGATCCGTCTCGGGTTTGCAGGGTGCAATGTTAATACTTTTTTCACTATATAACTAATGTTATAATACATTCTCAAAACCTACCTCTCCTATAAACCTTCCTCTTTAATCACTTTAACTAGTAAAAAAACGCATGAAACCCTTTGCGAAGTTTTAAAGATTTAAGTATACGCAGGGATATAGGGACTGAAGCGATTTTGTTTTATACTATGTAGTGTAAAAACTAAAAAGAAAGAAAGTATATTCTTTATTGTACACTATAACAACAAAAAACAACAAACATAGAAGATAGTAAAATTGGCGGTCTTACCGCTAAAAGCAATTTCTTCCAGACGACCTTTGAATGGAGTTTAACTGTAGAAGAATTTAAGTAGTAATTTTTGTATGGAATAGGAGGCAACCGAGCAGATGGATCACCTGGTGGTAAGCGATCGGCGCCGCCCATGGACACCTGCAGCACCAGAGGAGTCACAGGTGCGTTGCCGGCCTTTTAAGAAGGTTAAATTAGGTCTTTGTAAAAAAAAACCTAATGTTCTATCCAGCATTTAAAACTTTATATTGAGACACTCTATTCTGTTTGTGTTGAGATGTATAAAGATACGTGCCTTACTGTCATTGACGTCATTTGGTTACCTCGATAGTGGACTGATAACTGATCCATTGAAAACTCCATTGAACAACTAAAAAAGCAATTAATACTCATAAAATGGGTTCTACAAAATTTATCGATACTATCAATATACATATTTTATAATTATGTTCGTCGCTACTGACAAACGCGGGGTTGCTACGTGCTACGAAGTGCGTAGCACACTCGTAGCTATGTTACTTTAAGATTTTTCAGTCAGCATTTTCATTCTCATTAACGATGCTTTGTTCTGTTGGAAATTATTAACCTTAATTATGTATGCATCAATTAAACTATTTATCATCTTACGTTAAATAGAAGAGCTTTAAAAACAAAGGTAGATAGAACAATATTTTGTCTTTCTAAAGCTTTATAGCCTTATTTCACCGCCCAGGTCGAACTTTTCTGATCAGTATTTAGGCTTAAATAATAAAAAACCATACGGCCCGTCTGATTGAATTAAGGCACCGTGGTCTTTGTTTTAAATTAATGAATAAAACGAAACAACGGAATATGCTTTAATTGGCATCGATATACTAGTAGGCTAAAAAGTAACTAGCTGGTAGGAGAACAAAATAGTGTTAGGCTGTTATCAGCCAGTCCCATCCTAATTAGTACAGTCACCTTACTAAAGTACCCCCTCGCAAATAAACAATACTTTCAGCCCTCTGTTAGGATGAAGTAGGTATATCTTCTCAACGACGTAACTAAATTTATGCAAGTGTATTTATGTAAAACCACCCTATCTGCTGGGGTCCACAATAGTATGATCCTATACACCTCAATAACTAAAATTACAGCGGGCCCGGCACGGAGCAGGAGACGGAACGGGCTCGATTTTAGTCAGTAAAAGTCTGGCACTTCCTCGCGCCTCATCCAGGCTGAGAGAAGTTATTAATTATGATGATTTTCCCACCTTAAAAAAAGCTATACATATATTTGAAGTAAATGGTATGGTTCTGCTATCCCAAAAGGAGGAAGCTAGTGTCGTGGTGGCCCGGAGATTAAGGAGTTCGCTTCTCATACATGAGGGTGTGGGTTCGAAACCTGGCAAGTACCAATGTGACTTTTTCCGAGTTATATGTACTTTCTATGATTATTTAGACACCACTGACATACGGTGAAGGTAAACATCGTGAGGAAACCTGGACTTATAGTTTCTAATTATAAGTTTGAAATCGCCAACCCGCATCGAGTAAGCGTGGTGATTAATGCTCTAACTTTCTCCGTATGAGAAGAGGCCTTTGCTCAGCAGTGGGCACGTATAGGCTAATGATGATGAGTGCTTTAAAAGAGGTTATACAATTATGTGTTGCCACTTACTTATTCATACGTTGTCCGTGATATGTTTCAGGATCTTCAAAATAGACTCACCAAGTTACTATTAAAACAATATATTTCGGAATAATTTAAAGCTAAACATTAACACTTGATCACACTTATCTAATCGTTATCGTTGCTATCTTGGTGTGACACAGACGCCAAGAGTTGCGCCCGTCAGTCCATGATTAGCACTACATGTACGTCGATGGACTGTGTACCTTTACCTAGTGTGAAGTGACAGTGAACCTACTTTCTGACGATAGTGAGAGTGTAAGTGTTACAATAATTTAATTTTTTTTACTATTCTATGCTGTTAATAATAGGGGAATTCCTTCTTTATTTCAAGGCCAAGAGGACGATAATGCTATCTGTGGCCGTTTCGTCGAGGCCCGTGTTCTAAATGTTTAAATGCGATATTATTTTTCTTGCTGCATTTTTTATGTTGATTTAGTAGTAACAAACATTTAAGTTGAGTTTAATTATGTGTTTAAATGCATGTTCTTGATCCGTTTGTTATTTCTTGTGGATGCATACTGTATACTGCATGATGATTGGTGTTAGATTTTTGTTTGGAAGTAGGATATGTGTTGCATTTGCATTTCGTGATCATGTAAAAATATCATTGCATTGAAATTAATATTATATGCGCTTGATGTAGAAGGTAAATAGAAGGTATATGATGTCTGTCTTTACGACATTGCGCGCCGTAAATATTGAGGTATAATTGACATATTGGATTGATTTGACCAACTGTGAAACAGTGGGCCCGATGAGGCTCGTGATAGATATGTTAGAATATAACGGCTTTTATTTTTCGTTTGTTACATTTATTTATTTTATCTGCATTTATTTGAACGATCTTTAACACTCAACATACATAATACGGTTATGAAAGAAATTTATTGTTGTTCCTACGAAATATTTATAAGATGTTATGTAGTATGACTCTTATTCAGAACTCCTATAGTCTCACAGAACTATTAGCACCTACAAATAATGTATTGTGTATCATAATAATAGGCCTATTTATCCATACATAAGAATAGAAATGTGTTGGTAAGCGACTCATAAATTTGGACCAATTTAACTAATTTTTGTTTGTTATTTTTAAAATGTCAGGAGAAAGGTAAGACTCAAAATTTGTTGTGCATTATTACTCGATTATAAAACAATGTCGCGACCACCATTAGTGTTATGACGTACCTATTTATTGTAATAAAGTTGAAAAATAATTATTAAAGAAGGACAGGCTTTTGTTTTGACGTGCTGACGTCACGTGTGTACTTTCTTTTTAACCGACAAATGTAAGAGATTATTAATTACTCGCAAAATGTCATAATGTGGTTATGGGTTTTAGATACCCATATCCGTTTCGTTTACGACGAAATATTATCATCGTTCAGCAATCAGATAAGATACGTTCACTGAGAACCACTTTTTTGTGCAATGACCCGGTTTAGGGGAATGCACCGCTATTATTTGAAAAACTTGTTCCCTCCCCCCACCAGACCTAGGGCGATAGTAGTAGGCGGATCACCTGATTTTAAAAGTTTAATCACATAATTAGAGGTCTGTTTTGAGGAGGAGAATCTTCAAATGAGTTCTATTGCTCTAGGCCCCAGATCTTGGGAGAAGGAGTTGCGGGGAGGGGGTGCATTATTGGGCTTGCCATGCGACACTGGATAACCATGCAGAGGTCTTAATAGGGCGTTTCCAGTCTTTGGAGGGAAATTTGAGCAGCTTTTCGTATAAACAATAAGGAATTTGCTCATCAAACACGTTGTAAAGTGATTCAGTGTTTGTGTTGAACTACTTAGTCTACTTTCATATGTACAAATATTTACACAGTTACACAAATATTGCCATAAATTGTTATCACTGCCACACTTACAAAGGATTATTTTTATATAAATAAATAAAATATGTTACATATAGTTAACTAGGTCATGGTTATGTGTTTTTAAAATAAGTCACTATCTAGGCTAGGCTCTATCAATGAAAATTTGAGACAAGATATTTTTTATTGTCTATTATGAGGTTTCTGAAACTATGGTTATAGACACACTAGTGTATCGTGGCAAGAACGCCTCCATTTTATACATTTAACAACACGCAGACCGAAACAAATCGAAAGTTTGTTTCGAACCATTGCAAAAGTATTAATAAATTCTTCCAAAATGTTAAGTAGTTTTTTACTGCTATGATGAGACGGATAACTTGATGGTAAGCAATCAGCGCCAGCCATGAACAACCGCAACACTGGAGGAGTAACGCGTGCGTTGCCGGCCTTTTGGTGCTTAGGGTTTAGGGAGATTAGGGATTGGGGGAGGAAAAGATGGATATGGTAAATATATTCTGGCCTGAAGGCGGAAATAATGGTTTCATTCGTACACTACGGTTAGAAAAAAAACTCGCGGGACGTGTTGTGTCGTCTTGCGTGCTGTCAAACGCATGAAACCGGGACCATCTCTCGCGATACACACCGTGCCAATAGAAGGCTTTCTTGCAGGCTCCATAATCATAGAATCAAACAAAGTTACTAACAACCGGTTTCCGAAAGGCAAATCAATTTAATCTCTTGTCAAGTCATCTGATTGTTTGACTGAATTATCAACAACCAATCAGATGACTTGACAAGAGATTTAACAGGAGATTAGTTAATTTTAGCGTTGACAAGCCTTTCCCAAAACCGGGTGTTAGGATAGATGAAGCAGAAAAATCAGTCTAGTCTAACTAGCCTCTTTTTAATTCGAACGTGCTACTATTGTCATTAATCACTCGGAATTCGATTCTGTTATTCTCGACACAAAAACTCACTTGTTTTTTTTCTGTTTCGAAAAAACTATAAATCAAATGAGTAATTGTTTCTTTTTTATTCTTTCAGGTAATGCTTCTTGGTCATAGAAGCAAGAAGCCAAGATGTTTGCAGCGACCCTCACCAACCTATTGGGACCGCGGTTCCGAATAGTCCTTCGGAAGCCTATTATAGAGAACATAGCGTTCAAACTACACTATAAAGCAACATGTACTCTCTTCCTAACTGCTGTGATCCTGGTCTGCATGAGGGACTACTTCGGAGAGACCATTAAATGCATGGCCGATAATGGAGTCCCCACTCCGATTATTGAGAAATACTGCTTCTTTATGGCTACTTTTACAATCGTAAGTAAAAATTTATTGTGTTTTTTTAATCTTTGTATTTATGTTTTTTGTACAACAAAGGGTTAAGTTTTTCGAGCGATGTTGGAGACTTATAATTTTTTTTTTTGCCATCATTGACTTGAGGTTCTAGAGACCCTGGATCGGTGAGACCATTGAGTTTTAACGCATTTGGCTCTGGCATGTGCTTCCTAAAACCCACATTGAAGTTAGAAAAACAACAGATGTGACCAAAACATTAATTAATAACAGGTTCTTTATTTAAAAACGAATAATAATAAAATGGAAAGAAATAATCACTTGCTCTTTTTGGGGATAAGTAATGTGATACCGTGGTTGTACCTTCGAACTCTTCTTACCTTGTCCAGGTTCGGCATTACAACGAGAGTCTCCTGCAAGGCGGGTTCCTACCGCACCCTGGCGTGGGCCCTATGATGGAATCTGATGAAACCCTGCACCATACCTATTACCAGTGGGTGCCCTTCGTGTTGTTCGTGCAGTCCATTGCATTCTACATGCCGCATTACATCTGGAAGCAGAAGGAAGGTAAGTGAAAACAGAGGAATTTATGAGAATAATAAATTGCATAAAGAATTATTCGAAAATCAGTTAAAAATACACGATAACTGTTCAGTTAGTACATAGTACATAACAAAGTCGCTTTCTCTGTCCCTATAACCCTATGGGCGCTTAAATCTTTAAAACTACGCAACGGAATTCGATGCGGTTTTTTAATAGGAAGTTTTATAAGTAAGATCCATCCTTTAAATAGTGGAGAAATTTGGTATCAGCATTGCATCCGTGCAAAGCCGGGCCGGGTCACTTAAATTCATTCGTTAATTTAAGTTTATAATAATTCTTACCTAAGTTTAGTTACTGGTAACATCAGATACCAATCCTATTACCCTCAAAGCAGGCAACACACTTTTAATTCCTGCTTCTGTCTGTTTGTAGCCCTTGTCTATAAAATTCTGATTCATATTAAGAACTCTTCTCCTAATGAAGATCTTAACTAAAATCAATATAGGTAAATAACGTACCTACTGCTTTCGTACTAAAACTTAAAAAAAAAGTTAAATAGGTTTTTATTTTTCATGAATCTTATCTAGAAATTTAGTTTTCATACTTAAAAATATGTGTCATAGTAATATTGTTATGATGAATGCAGTGACGAGGAGTATGATATGATCTTTGTTTGCTCATATTTGTAATCTGAAACATTTTACTCTCAAAATAAATACTACAACTATATACATACATATGATGTATCCAGATGAAACCTATGTGTATTTCTTGCACAGATTATATATTTGTTTGTGATCTGTAATCATATAATTATCTTTTGAATCACACAGTTATGTGATTCATAAATATTGTATGATGATTTCACGGCTTAAAGAAAACCGACAAGGCTTGTATAAGGCTTTAGTCAAAAAAAAGTCAAAAATCATTTATTCCAATTAGACCCTTACAGGCACTTTTGACCGTCAAACAAATAATTAAATTATTTTGAATATACCTAGTCTAGCCATAAATACTGTAACAGATAAAAAAATATTTTTTCTATTGCAAATAACATTTATTACTTTTACAGTATGTAAGTTTAATACATAAATATAAAACAATTTAAAACATAAAAGGCTTATTCGAAGTGGTCTCCATTGGCTGCAATACAGTCCTTTAAACGTTGAGGCCAGTTATCAATAGAAGCACGCACTCTTTCCATGGGAAAATTCTTCACTGCCAATCGTATGGATTGTTTTAGGGAGTCCAAATTATCATGACGTTTAGAGCAAGCCCTACTCTCTAAAACTGACCATAAATCATAATCCAGCGGATTAAGATCGGGACTAGACGACGGCCAGTCTTCAGCTCTGATGAAGTCGGAAACGTTCATTTCCAACCAAGACTGCGTGGACCGAGCTTTATGACCCGGCGCCGAGTCTTGCTGGAAGGACCATTGTTGGTTATTGAACATGGTGCTGTTAAGGGGCTTAACTATCTTCTCAAAAATGGCATTTTGATACACTTGTGCCGATGTTTTGATATCTTTTTCGCAAAAGTATGGCTCAGTCACTCTTTCATAGCTAACACCCCACCAAACCATTACTGAAGTCGGATAATGCCCACGTGCAACGTCTCTGCAGGTCTGTCGACTAATTGAGAAGCTTCCTTAGAGCTAAAGCATAAATACGGTCTTTTGTTTGTTAAAATGTTGCTCAATTGTAGAAAATTTCTCATCCGTAAACAAAATTTTTCCGTGACCTCCCTTTGCGTACCGCTTTCAGTAGTTGTTTAGATTTTATCACCCTATTCTTTTTTAAGTTATCATTTAAAAAATGTCCAGTGCGTCTCCCATAGGCTGCAAGTGCTAAGTCGTCTTTTAAAATACGCGACATGGTACTAGGTGCTATCTTCATCTCCCGAGATAAAATCTTTTGCTTTCAGACAGTATTTCTTCGAATTCTTTCCCTTATTGCTTTGACCACCTTTTTCGTACGAACTTTTTCGTATGTTTCTCTGTATACACGCGTTACACTGTTCTCACATATTCAAACCAACTAAATAATGTATCAAAGAATCTTTATGTGACACTGATTTTAAAAGAGTAACCATGGAGTTTCTTGCTCGTTCTTCTCCATCGGAATGTACACTTTGGAACGAGCGAATAGCTTCACTAAGAGGACTGACCGACAGACTGACACTTTATATCTTTAAAGTTGTGTTGACGTTCAAAAGTGCCTGTATGGGTCTAATTGATATAAATGATTTTGACTTTGACTTGACTTTAAGAACACTACGTGGACGGCCAGATCTTTTTCTGCCACAAACATAGGAGGTCTCATTGTACCTATTAATAGCCCGGTACACAAACATTTGACTAATGCCAAGCGTGTGGAGAGTTTAAAAAATTGCATTTGGCTCCATACCCTCTTTGTGTAATGCAGCGATTCGGATCTCTTTATCACCCCACTCCATTTTAATATCGCAAAATATTGAACAATTTATTGGCGCCAAAATAAGAAAACACAATGAAAAATTATATAAAAATGTCAGATTCCAAATTCAAATGTAATATTTTGTTTATTTTTAATTGTAACAGTATTTATGGCCAGACTATGTATAGTGTCAGTCTGTCGGTCAGTCCTCTTAGTGAAGCTATTTGCTCGTTCCAAAGTGTAGATTCCGATGGAGAAGAACGAGCAAGAAACTCCATGGTTACTCTTTTACCCTCCGTGTAAGTCCTTTTCCTCCTTTTTCCTAATCCCCAATCTTCAAAGCCCTAACAGCTCCCAAGATAGTTGCAGATGTCCATTGACGATCTACCTGGCCACTTGCCGCTTTATACCATAAAACACGGGCTTGTAGGTTCCACAAAGCGCAGCAAAAATTCAGCTGTAAAATAACATAATACATCAAAGCAAAGATTTATCTTCTATTCCTTATGTAACTTTGCCATAAAGATATATTGTAATGTCCTTATTACTTCTTATATAGGTGGTAGAATAAAAGCGTTAGTAGACGGCCTGCAGTACGCAAGCCTCGCACTGATCAAAGAAGACATGAAGGTCGGCAACATGGACTTACCTTCCGAAGAAACGCTTAGCAAGCGTATCAACATCATTCTTAGGGATATTCGATTAAGGTAACGACTATTTTTAATACTATACATATTCCTTCCAGGACATGAAAAACAGACGATGAAAAATTACCAAGCTACTAATAGAAATAAAAGACAAAGAAGTCTCATAGGATACCCACTTTTTACCTCATATTTCATAAATTTATTGCTCTTACCTTACATAGACTCAACTTTAGATTTAAACCTTAGACTTATCTTGACGATTTTAGTAAAGAGAATCTCATAATTGACTATTTCAACAGAACTTATCAGGATCCTCCAGTTTTTTCGTCTGTGCTGTGCATGAATTTGATTCCTGCACCCTGATACTAACGTGAGAACTGGGACACCAAGGTAGTTTTGATTCAGTACGAGTATGGCAGTCCCCTTCGAAGGCTGCGGTCCTTATTGCACTTCACCCCCAACTCCGACCCCCCTTCCCCTCTTTGGGGGATTTGTCGAGCTCTGCATGAAGATTTTCAACATGCAATTAAAGACCGGACAGTGGATCAAAGTTACAAATGTGTTTTCACTGATTATCATTGTTTTAGGTTGCGCATAACTCGCACATGGTCAGTATGGCTAGTAGCCATGGAAGTGACGAACTTGGTACACGTCATGTTCGAAATCTGGATCATCAACGAATTCCTCAATGGAAACTTCATCAGCTTGGGCCCAAAAATACTCAATATGAGTGAGTGGGGAAATATTGCTGACCCACTGGAGACTGTGTTTCCAAAGGTAAGCTGGTGCTAATATTTTTGTAAAATGTTTGAAACTTCTTAGCTGTAGCTTTTTTGACGGTATATGATGGTCAAATATCTTTTCTTGCTCTTCTATGGGAGACTTAGGCTCTTACTGACTAAAAACCACTCCGTTGCTTTTGATGCTTCAGGCCGAGGCCGCGTTCTAAAATTACGCTTGAGCCTCAGCTGATTCTTAGCTGTATAATGTGAATTTCTTTCAACTCTCTTGTAGTTACGAACATAAATTTTCTGCACAAAGCCAAACAAAGTTTAGTTCTGAAACATGTCTACTGTTATCAATTGTCATACGAGATTATTACTTGTAGCATTTTTATTGTCAAGCGAATGGTAAGGAAACTTTACTGTAATTCTTATAACTCGCTTCCTTGCCACTAGGTGACCAAGTGTATCTTCCACAAATATGGTCCAAGTGGCTCCATCCAGCAGCACGACGCGCTCTGTGTGATGGCGCTGAACATCATCCATGAGAAGATTTATGCTGTGCTCTGGTTCTGGCTACTATTCCTCTTCATCGTCTCCGTTATTGGTAAGACATCAGCTTGTATTTCTGGTTAGATAGGATAGTGTTATACCTTAGGGCTACTTTTTAATTTTTTTTATATTTACAGAAACATGTTTTATATTTACCATTGTAATAATTTCAGCTGTGATCTGGCGCATCATGTCATTCTTCCTGTACCGTCGCTCCCCGAGGTTCAACATGATAATGTTCCAAAGAGCAACTGACGCCAAGTTTGACCCCATGAATGTCATCCACATCATCAACGGTTGCCAGTTCGCTGACTGGCTGTTCCTATACTACCTGGCTAAGAATATGCAGGGCGCTGTCTTCAAGTGAGTGTTGTTATTTTGAACTTCACTGATATTAATTGAATTAGACACATTGACTTAGAGCTTAGTTCAGTGGCTCGTTGAAAGGCTGATCAAGAAAAATTCTTTCTGTGCGTGGAATGTGGCCACATGTACTTTTCCGAGACTTATTAAACGGTTGACCGAGTAAATCATCTCCAGGGAGGAATTTAAATTGACAATTTCTTCTTCAAATATTGACTTTAAAAAGAATTTTTTTGTGGGTCCGTTGTTCCTAAGATAATCTTAAAAAGGTCAACCAAAGGATTGGTACCATAGCACCATAGTATTGGTACAATTTTGAATGACATGGTTTCCTAACTTTGATTTACTCTGACTCTGACATTAACTTTGACAAACTTTGATTGTTTTTCAGGGAACTATTCAATCGATTAGCTAATGAGTTGGCCAAGAAAGAAGTGGCAGGTTATGAAGATCCAAATGAGAAGAAAGGAGCTGCTCCTGAACTCTCAAACATCGTCAACTATCACGACGAAACACTACCACTTCAAGCTAAGTCGTAAGCTATAAGCTATAGTCGTTAGCTAGAGATAAGATTATTTTATAGATATTTAAGGATTGAGTTTCGAATGTATGATAGAAGGAAGGATGTTAAGAAAATCCCAATGAAACAGTTGAAATGTACGATTATAAATTGACAAAAGAAAAAAACGATAGATTGCCATAGAAGCAGGTTTGTCATGACAGAATTGAATTGAAAAAAATGTTATCCGACATTATGATTGTATAGCTATCATCATTTAAAAATATAGTAGGTAGGTTAGTTCTATTTCGTACAATCATAATTTATAAAGAATGAAGCTATATTTTATTTGCTCAAAAGAAGCTTTACGGTGGTTTTTATTATACTTAAATTACAGGAAGAAATCGAGCTGCAAATAGGTACGGAGTGTACGGAGTACTTGAAACAGATTTTTAACGAATTTTACTTCGTGATTTTTCGAATGAAAATATTATTTTCGGTAAATTACTATTTTTTTACGGACACATACATAGGTAATGTTATAGAGATGGTATTAAAGAATTTTCTAAATTATAAAATGTTTCAACTTGTAAATAATTTTTGTTTTGTAATTAAAATGTGCTAAAAATGTCTAGTCCTTTTATGTTTGTTGTTGTTTTAAAGTCTATGTGAATAAATCTGTGTTATTTTTAATTTGTTGTTTATTGTGTTTCGCCGTGTGAGTGAGGTTACTGGAGGCCCAATCCTTCCCTTATCCCAATCACAAAATCTCCAAATCCCTAATACTTGATACACTTGTAACTCTTCCGTTGTTGCGGGTGTCCATTGGCGACGCTGATTGCTTACCATCAAATCCGTCTGCTCGTTTGCCGACTTATAACATAGAAAAAACATCCACTATTGATCCACTACCTTTTACTTTGTTTACTTACGCATCGTCCTAGCTTAGGGTTAGTTTACCTAAACATTTAAACCTTTGACAATAAAATGTTTCGTTACTCTTGTACCAAGAGTCCACAATGACCAAAATTGTCGTTCATGATTACATCGGGTGTTATTTCCGTGTCAATTTAAGTAGGCATGTATTTGTTAATAATGACGTCTACATTTCTAGGTTATATACCTACTCATATCCATAAATAATCAACATATTTAATGTTTTACTTAAATAGGTAAGGTGCTAAGTACTACATAAATAGGAACTACATAGGTATCTATCTGACTGATTTTAAAATACTAGCTTCGTAATACATTGTAAACAAAGCGAGAATTATCATGTCACCATTTCAGCTTTGTTTACTTGACCTTTAACCAAAAACTTCGAACAATTTAAATAGTATATAGAAGAGTATTTGCTTCCCTATTTACATAATGCTTGTAAACAGTTAGTTGTATAATAGGAATCATACGGAATTATGCGACAAAAGTTTTATGATGTAAATACTAAGACGGTTCTAATAAGGTTGTTAGCTAATTACTTGGGTATCTACAGCACCAACTGGCATATATATGCGATTTATTTAGTTCCTTCTTTTTTTTAAGGATGTAAGCTCATTACCTACCTTCAGGAAATGGATAAAGGACTATATTTTTGTTACACACAGCTAGTGCAAAGAGTAGGTATCCTGTTCCTTGTCAGTGCCGGCGTTAGGGGAGGCATGATGGGGCGATGGCTTAGGGCGACAATTTCTGGGGGGCGTCAAGGTCTGAAGTCTCTTGCCTCTCCTAGTGCAAACACCCTCAGAACTGTGATCAGATCAAAAATGTAACACTTGAGGGAAGCATCCCTCAAGTGGGCGCCACGATATTTTCGCTCGGGGTGTCAGTGGCCCTTACGCCGGCACTGTTCCTTGTGACCGTTTCATAAAAAGGTAGGATAACACACAAGATGAATTCATTCAGATCAATTGATGATACTCGTAGACACGAACCACTTTGAGGAGTTACAAGTGCATTGCCTTTTTCGTTTAGGAAATTCATCAAATGACTTCTCTCACGTAAGGTATGATGAGAGGTAGTGTCAGACTCTTACTGACTAAACACCCCCGGTCCTTTTGCTGCTCTAGACCGAGGTCAAGGCACCTTATTGCGCTTGACCCGCAAACTTAGCTAAACATCGGACCTGCTGGGCCATATAAAAATAACCTATGATGTGTTGTTCCAGACTACAATACATCTCTATGCTAAATTGTATTCGAAAACGTTGAGTAGTTTTTATGTAAAATAGTAACAATCATTCACCTTTCCATACTTACCTAAAAATTTTCGCGTTTATAATATTAGTACCTAAAATGTCAAATATTACAAATATTTATAATATTTATTTCAGGCAAATGCCCATATTTGTTTAGTGACTTAGTAACAATATCAAACTTAGGTAGGTAACTATTTATGTAAGTGATGTTAGTATCTTTTTTTTTATATAAATCAAATTAAAAACATATTCTATGTATTCCTCAGGTTTTCGTGAGATAATATCATGGCAAAGCGCCAGAATCTGACATCTTTTCGTCCAAGCTTTCTCCCTGCATCTCAAGATTGTTGACCCGACCGAATGCTGCGGGATGCTGACTAACCGACTTAGCAAAAAGAGGTTATAAGGTTGAACGGTTATATTCTCTGAAAAAGAAATTGCAAGTCTTGTTTCGTTATTAAGATCATATTAATTAACTTTACGGTAATGTGAAGGAGGTAGCCCAAGTTGGAAGGTAGGTAGGCATAGGATTTTCTTTGAGAAGTTTTTTGTCTGTTAATGTTCTTGTAAGTCGAATGTTTTTGTTTATTATGAATGCGAAAACATAGGAATTATGCGCTGTGTTCTGATTGGTAGTTTCATATTGTGGGTTGCGCAAAAGTTATTTATATTTTAGTAAGTATGTAGGTATCTGAGTATCAGTTCAGTTACTTAGTTTATTAAAAATAGATAAAAACAAGATTAATTTAAGTGCAGGTGGCCTTTAATTAAATACCTTTACCAATATGACGCATTAGTTATTAATTAAATAAAAATAATTACTGAGTCGTCAATTTGTAAAGTACTTCCATAATTAGCACGGCGCGGCGCTGGCGCCATAAAAACTAGGCAATAGATCTAAGTAAACTAATTTAGAAAATGAATATTTGATTTTGAATCTAATGATTAATTAATTGCACTGGCACGCTCCAGTTTAAGCAGTTACTTATACAATTTGGACAAAGAACAAATAATAATTGCGTAATAATTGCTTAAGTACTGACATAATTAATCAAAATGCAGAATGATCAATCAGGTGTTTCGATTTGTATGGGGAAATAAAATTATTTTTGAGATTTCGTTATTGGTCCCGTAGTTGTTGTTTTTAGAATCGGCTCTTTGAATATGTCCCTCGTTCAAAATGCGACTCTGTATACAATTCCGGAATACAATTAGAGGCAAAGCTTACAAGAGGGAAGAAAAACATCGAAATACTACTGATTAGAAACACTTCGTTACTAATTCTGTTTTGTTATCATGAGCCCCAATAGAAGCAAGTTCATTAACAAAATTTACGCCTAACATACGCCGTTTCGGGGAAATACATATTTCAAATTTCGTGATGTTACTGCAAGAATCGAAATTGAAAAACACACATAAGTAAGTATATCAAAGTTTACTTTCAGTTCCGTGTGAGCACGCATTAACGCAGTACGCTTTACGCGCAAAATAATATCTTGTCAACCTTTTTACGGTTTTTGAAAGTTACGCATTAGGTACCTACTAGTTATTTTCTTTGCGATGAAAACGCGCGCAAATTGCATTGAGCGATTCAATAAAGGAGTTCAATTTTCGAGCTGAAAAGTACCTGGACTTCTCTTGTGCCAGCATGACTGAAGTTGGTTGGAAGAAATTGGGTGCTGACAGAAGAGCCCAATGGAAACCTCCTGCGTGCCGAATGTCATCGGCTTCACTGGATACAGTGCTGAGTGAGATTCGAGAAATGAAGCATCAACTACTGGACCTGTTGACTTTAGTCAATTACTTAATTACTTAGGATCGATCAAGGATGAGCTGAGTGATCCCAAAAAATGCTATGATTTTTCTAGTGGTAGGCACGATGAGTTCGACACTCGACTTATCGATCTGGAATCGAAAGTGTCAGAGTTTGAGAAGGTCCAGGACACAGTCCTCTCTGCAATCTGAGGTAGCCTCAGCAAAGCTCGGTCTTATGTCACATGATCAGCGGTCCCGGTTAAATAACGTGGAGATCAAATGAGAGAATTTATTCTCAATCGTTGAAGCCATCGGCCGTAAAGTCAAGCACAATTGCCGGCAAAGCACTCGTAACGCCTAATGTGTTGCGGGTGTCCGTGTTTGCAAACAAGTATAGGTATACTTTTTTTAGATAGGTCATATCTCAAAAAATGTATACCTATGTTTGTTACTCAAACACATCTAAGAATCGTTATAGAATAGTTGCCCCTTACCACACTCATAAGGAAAGATTATTTGGAATAGGATTTAGTTTACCAAGGTATTTTGATACGCCTCGTCAGGATGTTTAGATGAATTTAAAGTCTATTTATTATCATTTGAGACGGCAAAGGCACCGACCATTGTTGTGTGGCGTGTTTAGAATATATGTATGCGGCTTGACTACGATACGGCGGACATATCGTTAAAATGAATATAAATATTTATCTAAGTAGGTAGGTACCTACCTACTAGTGAATTTGAGAAGTAAAGATAATAAGCACACAATACATTCGTAAATACAAGCTAAGTAACTTCTCGTCACGGGATTATTCCAGAACGTTCTTGAATGTTCCATCTTAAATTATTAAGTTAACCTACGCAGATAATTAGTATAAAAATTCTCCTTTAAATAAAATTTTATTAATTGCGTCCCGAGGCATTCGATTTCTTTAGTTTCGATTGCAGGTGGGCTTTGGGCAGGATATGCAGAGACCTGTGGTCACTCTCATACACAATACTATTGACTTCTATAGAGACAGTCGACACCCACCGAGCTACTGGCTCGAAGATGCGTTCAGAGTGCTAAGTTCTATCATACCTATCTAGTTTTTACATTATTGCAGAAAATATAGGTTTAGGCCTTGTACCTACGCAAAAGGCCCCATTTTTTTTTGTGCGGGAAATCATGCAAGTATACCAGCACGATAGGTAATAATAATATTACTGTCAGCCCGGTCCCGGTGTCGCTTGCTGTTTTGTGGGAATAAGTCTGACAATTTTATTTTTTTATTGTAGAACTTTTAAAAAATCATCACACTATCCATGCTAGAGTGATTATGAATTAATAAAAGCATTATGACATAATTTATAACAAAAATGCTGGAAAATGCTGCGGCTTATAACTTGTGATGCACAGCATGCGATTAGCGACACATGTTTTTCATAGTCTTAATATAGTATATTTATAATTACGACGAATTAAGGAATACTTTATATATCTGGCATTTTTTCTGGTTGAATAAAGAATAATATTATTAAATGTTCCCCTATCTTGACATGAAACAAATGAAACTTGTAAGTACCTACCTTGCTTGTCCAAAGGCTTCCGATCTCAAGTTTAGAAATAATGCGAAAAAAAAACTTGACATTTCAATCATAACTTTTTACTATTATTTTAAAGTGTAAGTTCTCTACTTTCTTTAAAATTTAATATATTTTAACATTTAATTTATTTACAGCTTAAGTGAATGCGTAGATTGAAACGCACATTTTTAACTCTAGCAACAATCAAAATGGCGTCAACGCTGTCGAGGCGCGCGCTCTCACTGTTATATCTGTCTTTTTCTAACAAAGCTGGAAGCATATCACTGTCTCTGTTATCGGCAACAGATAATAATTTTCTTTCATTGCGTGTGATGTAAAACAAAATAAATTGTGAGAAGAGCCGGGTTAGCCGTGAAACGGAGTACTTTTCTTTGACGTTGCATGGTTCCGTTTTGTGATGCAAGTGAATATCGTTTATTTTCGTGTTTTATAAAAGAAAAATAACGATATAAATTGGAACAATTATTATTATACACAGGTGGACACTGAAATGTTTTATTGAGTGTGTTTAATCAGAGTTTTTCTGATGGTTTTCTATGAAAATAGTATTTTCTAAACGATAATTCCGAAAATATCAAATTTTCCGCGAAAAATAAAATCTATTAAACAAAGGACTGACCCGAAGAAGATTGTGGAGGCAAATCATAATCTGGTGAGTTTAATTTATTTAGTATCTAAGTCGGTCGTGTAACATTTTTTACGCACCACGATTTTTTGAGAGGCAACGCAAACACAGCTGAGTATTCTGCGTCCGTATTGTTTGATTTGTTTGGTGAAAATAGCTCAAACTAGCAATATAAGACAAACAATGTCCAAACAGTTCTATCCTTTCTTTTTTTATACTCCTTCATTCAGAGTAGACTGTACAGTTTTGATGAAATAAATTATTAAATAGAATACCTTCTAAGTAGGCCAATTAGCTTAGCTATATTTTTTTTGTATAAAAGCTCTTCCACATTTGGTATTCAAATTATTTATGCAACTTCTCACTAAATTTAGTCTATGCACCTCGCAGCCATGTAATTAAAATAATAGGACCATTAATCAATATATGGAGGTTGGTATGGTAAGGTTTTCTAATAGTTTTTCTTAACAACATATCTGGCTATTGTATTGGACCTTGCTGCAACCATAGTTTGTTTATAACAAACTATGGTTATAGTATGGGTACCCTGGTACATCCCTGTTTGAGACATTCAATTTAAAAAAAACTATTGTGAACTTAACATACAGCCTTTTACTCTATAAAAGACGATAATTCATATCTTAAATATTACATCCATCATTCATAGTACCCCGTGAAAAAGAAATTTTCATTACGAAGCGGGTTGCTCTGATATTGCAGATGCGTTAATATGAGTCTGATGTTACATTATAGGCTCGCTACTAAGTATTAACATTAGACTCATTATATAACTGTAATAAGTGACTATTTTTGTAATATTTTTTTTTTTTTTTTTTTTTTTTATGTAATAGGTCGGCAACCGAGCAGACGGATTACCTGATGGTAAGCAATCAGCGCCGCCCATGGACACTCGCACCGGTGGAGTTACGAGTGCGTTGCCGACCTTTCAGGGATTAGGGATTTGGAGATATAGGGATTGAGGAGGGATTGGGGAAGGGGAAGGATTGGGCCTCCGGTAACCTCACTCACACGGCGAAACACAACGCAGTGGTTATTTCACGCCGGTTTTCTGTGAGGCCGTGGTATCACTCCGGTCGAGCCGACCCATTCGTGCCGAAGCATGGCTCTCCCACACCTTTATGATTTAATTTTTTATTTTATTATGATTTAATTTGACCATTGTCACTTCATCCCTAAACAAATATACAATTCACTGATTCAGCATTTTCACAAAACATGTAGAACCAAGTAAGATGAATTCTATACTTCAATTGTTTTACAGCACCTTTAGTTACAAGCTAATTCTGTCAAGATTGTTCCATAATGTCTGGATAACCACTATATTATAACAGATTAATTTGAATGTGGAACATAATTTGTATGTATGTATTATGTGACTTCTTTGGTACTTATATAATATAAGCACTACAAATTTTACCCTATTTGTAGACCCTATTTTAATAAGAGGACAAAACAGAAAGTTTTGGTTGTTCCGATACACATTTGCCTGACTATTCAAAGTTATTTGAGGCATGATATCATAATATGATGAAATTAGATTTTCCTATTAGAAACTAAGTGAGATTATATAGTTGATTAAACAACAGGATAATTTAAGTTTTTATTTTTATAACATAATTTGTGTGTTCCTTAGTTAATAAACAACAATATCATGTAATTGAATATGTAATTATAACATAATATACCAACCATATAAATATGAAAATGTTTTTTTTTTATTTAATAAAAGAGTAGATTTTAATGTCAATAAGTTTGTTAAATAGGATTTCATAGATGACCAGAAATATTTTTTAAGATTGCCTTATTTAATTGTTGTTTATTAGCATTAAATACTTTCTTTCATTGAATTCAATGTTACATAGTCAGGTACTGTATGAAAACTGCAACATACCATACCAACAGTGACAGTATGTTAAAAACTTTCTATACTAGTTTGTGTCTAAGGATAAAATATCACTATTGTTCACAGAGAAAGCTAGTTCTATTCATAAATATATGTAGGTATATATATAAATGTAAGTATTTATGCAAATATGCATCTTTTCAAATTTCAAAGTGTAGGCCATACGACGTAACTCACGTACTCACGATCACGATATTGGAAATTGCAATCATTCTCTTAACCGAAAAAAGATCGTACTGAAATTTTGTTAATTTATTTTTGTAAATTGTAATTAGTTTAAGGCCTGCTTGTGGCCATGCCAACATGTGGCCCATCGCACGTGCTCCGAGCCACGTCTCATCCGGGATAATGACCGCACCACATTTTTGTGGGCAACTGAGGCCAAACCGTATAATTTGGACCATCCTGCTCTCGCGCACACTTTAATCACCTTTAATGGTAGATCGCCGGGGGCGGGGCGGGGTGATTTATAGCCAAACTTGTCTAGTCTGAACGTCCAGTGAGTAGAGACCAAATAACTTGGTGTACTTCCTAGTAACGACCTCTTGAAGATGAGGAATGTTATGAGTTTGGGAGCTCATAGTATTTTGGCCGATAACAGTATTAAGCTCGTATTGCCGAAAACGGCAGGTGGGGATTCGATCTAGAATAAATTGCCTTCCAGTTGTTTCTATGCTGCTGGTTATCAATTACTTTTTTTCTTTGAAGAAACCGTACGACAACAGGAATTCGTGGAATAGCATTACTAATCTCGAAGGATAATCCCTCACGGTATCCCTAAATCGGGAATATTTCCGCTATAGGATTAGTTTTAAAATTCCCTGTGGGTATTATGACCTGATTTTGTAATGCTTTGTTTGGGAAATTGCTTACTGGTAAAGCTTCAGTAATGTTGCGTGGCTTATAACTCCCCCCTCTAACCTGTTACCCAAAAATACTGATTAAACATTAAGTAATGCTTCCAATCAATCTCCAACACTAGCAAACCTTGAACAAAACATCAACATTTAGAAAAAAAACACCACCAATTAGGTCCTCTATAATTTCATCACTATCGGTCCAAATAACTCTCCCATTGTCATCGCCATGATTATACAGACTGTTGCTATGTCATGATTGATTAAAACATCAATCAAAGTGGATCTTCATGAAACAATTAGTACGTAAAAATTACTTCTGAAACGCCATGTTGCCGTGAGTAAAATTGGTTATGGGAATTAGCGATCTATCGACTCGCCAATTTCTTAATGCATATTTCTAAGTGCAACTAATTGTACGCAAGGACAGTGCTGCGAGCTTCTCAAAGTAAAAGTGACCATTCTTTGTAAAGACGGGTTCCTGTTACCTAAGCTAAGTGGCTGCAACGCGATACGGTGTTGCACCTTGCGACCGAGGAGTTTGCCTTGACCGCGAAACAGACCTGTTCTACTGCCTACAATATAAGCCGTTTTCCATGCCAGATTGTATCTATATGAGGGCTGTGATGTCAACGTGGTAATGAAAATACTGGGCCAGGAGACAACCTTGATACTTATATTGCCAAAATTGCGGGTATGCTGATTTGTTGTTCTAATGTATGTAGTTAAAAAGAATAGTGATTTCGAGTAACAGCATGAACTGTATAGTTGTTGTTCTTCAAGAAATAAACGATACGTATATTCAAGAAATACGATTATGTATGATAATATAAGATTCTCATAACAATAGAAAAGATATTGAGGTGCAGTTGTCCACCTTTTTCACCAATACAGTAGACTAGGGTTGGGACAGAGTAGGACTACTTAGTTGAAGGTCAGTGGCCATTCAAAAGATGCATATTTAATATTTGGCACGTAGCAAGCTTCCTTGCATACACATTAAATATTTCCGCTTCACTAGTTATAACTAGTCGCGATAAATCTCTGTGTCATGTAATTATACTGTTTAGGTTTGCCAGGAGCTGTGTTATTACGTTCAAAGGTTCGGAGTACAGTCGTAGGCTTTGTACAAACAGTTATTGTTCTCAGCTGTTTGTATAACATAATTCATACAAGATTTACAAGCAGGTGGGACTCCTCTCACGGCCCGCGTTTATGTTGAGCGTCCTTCAGCTCATCCGTTGTATAACAATTATCATTTAGCACACGTTTTAATAACAGCTCCAAATAAATTATAGGCCTACTCCCCTTTTAGCTCGCGGCACTCAGCTCTAAAATTAGCCATATTGTTTTTTTTCTTTCAACAAATGTTGAGTAAGCAGAGTGACCAGTCGCGTTCTTTCAATTACTCAAAAAATATGTTCAATATTACGATCGGACGATACGAACAAAAGATTACGATCGACAGCATAACGCGGCCGCATCGGATGCTATCTGGCTTCATAATAAAAACATTACACAATGACACGAAATATGTGATTCCTACCAAAAGTTGCATATCAGAGAGGTCGTCGACTATCTATGGCCTCACTGAGATCACCGTCAATCACGGCCACATGGACATGTGGCAATTGCTAGCTTCAATTAGTCTTTTGGGTCACACTGTCAACACATCATTCTGTCTATCTACGAATGAATGTTTAATTGATGTATGCTTATTAACAATAACGTCATGGACTAAAAAATTACGCCTGGTAATTGAAATACATGTATGTATATTGTCTGCTACCGGAATCATAGCTCAATTTAGGGAAATGAGCTCAGTTAACCGCAAATACTCTGCTAACAAAGGAGTTTTAGGGTCGCCAGTTTCTGGACTGTATAGAAAAACAAATTTAATCATAAGTTAAATAAAATTACTCTAATTAGGTTATGAGTCGATTTAACAGCCGAATAAACAAATGCAAATAGTTGGTATGTAACCACGCGATTTAAGCTGTCCCTGGCATTATCGAATCTCTTTTTGAACTCGAAAATTTTGTAGGAGTTCTGAATGTGATCCAAAGTTTATTATTTGATAAAATGTTGTGTTCTAAAGCTTGGTGCTATTCAAAATAGAGTTTTATGCGATTGTATCTTCAATCCTTCGAAGCACGTGGGATGTTCTGAGGTCATTATTACCGTTACTAAGCCAGACTTGCCGGCACGTTACTATCGCGTTAGAGTTCATTGTAACACTGCTGTGA